CCCCCCCCACCCCCCCCACACTCTCGATGGTCCAGCCAATCTGGCCTTCTTGCTCTTCCTCACACAGGACTTTCCACCCCCTGTCCCTGTGTCTTTTCACTGACTTGAGGAATTCCCTTCTGTCTTCCTTATCAGAATCCCTGGCTTCCTTTCAAATGCAGCTCATATGGCATCTCCATATTCAACCTCCCAACAGCTTTTTGTCCAATAGAATGTAAGCTCCTAGAGGGCAGGGAGTGTTTTATTGTTGCTTTTACATCCTGGGGTACAAAATACATAAGTGCTAGTCCATTCTCTGAACATCTCACAAATGCTCAGACAACACAGGTTATCCATTGGTCCTTATGTTATTGGCCCACCTCTGATTCCAGTTAGCTAAGTGCCTGAGAATGATGATGTCTTTCATAGTCTTCTCAGGCACAAATCATTACCGGTAACATATCTACCCACCACGCATCTTATGGTTGCCCTTTGCATTATCTGTACTTTATACTTTTCTAAGATCATGGCATTCCCTGATTTGAGGCCATCTAGCATCACCGGAAGCGCACTGGTTTTAAAGTGTACCTGATTGTAGAAAATCATATATAAAAACACATCTATCCCTTCTAATGTTTTCATGAAGAACGCCCTCTCAATACATATATAGATTATCCCATCGGAGTGTTGAGCACATTTTATTAGGGTGAAAATTCTGGGAATTTTTAAAAACATAATTATTTAAACCAGAGATGTTTTTTGTTTTTGTTTTTTGCTTTTTGGCAAGGCACCTGGGATTAAGTGACTTGCCCAGGGTCACACAGCTAGTAAGTGTCAAGTATCTGAGGCCAGATTTGAACTCAGGTCTTCCTGACTCTAAGGTGGGAGTTCTAACCACTGTGCCATCTAGCTGTCCTTAAGGCAAATATTTAAAACTCAATCATAAAGAATCATTTTCTATTCATCAAGCCTAAAAATTAATTTTTAAATCAATTAATTTTAAATTATCAATTAAGCTTTAGAAATATGAACTTCATTGAACAGGAGATGCAAAACATCCATTTTTGGGGAATATTACATGCAAAATAATTTTGTATAGTTTAGGGAAAAAAGGCACATAGACTGGTAGCTCTTCTCGATTGTCTTTTTGGGTGGATGGCTCATCTGTGATTTGTCTCTTCTTCTGAGATCTCCCCTCTTCGAAATAGCCTAAAAACCTATGCAAGTCCGTCCGGCAGAAAATCTGCCTATTACTCTTTCCTGATTCTACCCATTACTTCATCACATGGTACACCTACTATTGTGTGGTACAAGCCAAGTCTGAATTTGGTGCTTCTACGACTGTTGCTAATAGAAACACGAGTAGATATGTTTGTAACAAACACCTACAAATAATCTCAGGCAGATCTGGCTTAGCCAGCTTCCAAGTTTGCCTGTCATAAAGAAGCTTGTTATTCTGTAGATTTGGCCATTTCCCAGCTTGAACCATATCTAATAAGGGAAACAGGAAATCCAGGCAGGCTCCTTTCAAGGCCTGATGTTTCTACAAGTTTTGCTCATGAAAGATGTTACAGCTCTTGGGCTACTGTGATTCCTTTTTTTTTTTAAATTTTTTTTAAAAATTTTTAGGCAATTGGGGTTAAGTGACTTGCCCAGGGTCACACAACTAGTAAGTATCAAGTGTTTTGGTTTGAGGTTGGATTTGAACTCAGGTCCTTCTGACTTCAGGGCCGGTGCTCTATCCACTGCGCCACCTAGCTGCCCCCAGGCTACTGTGATTCTGTCTAGCTTCAGGATGATGAGAAAAGGGGGGAAAAGGTTCCCTGGAGGCAGAAAAAGAGAAACAGGAAAATGTGAAGATTTGGGTTATGGGAAATCTGCACTGGAGATTAAAGGATGGCTCCTTGTGTGCCTCCTCCAGAGCCTGGGGACTGCTGTGGTTCAGTAGCTGCTGCAGACAGTGACCAGGGGAGCTCCAGCTTCTGTCGAGCACCATTTCTCCCCCCGTCCCCCCACCCGTTGTTATTCCAAGTACTATCACTAGTTTTTCATCTTACTTATTTTTGCAGTTGTTAAAGTACTATTCGGTCTGCCAGCAGAGCAGTACATACTGACCAAGAAAAAGGAAGGTCAGTTCTAGTAACTTACTTCTTAAGGGGGGGTGGGAATGGGAGGGAGATCTGCTTCCATGGTTTTGTTTCCTGGAGAGTTTTAGAACTTGAGGTTTCTAGAAGGATTAGGGATTCATTATAATACAGTTAACCAATAAGACAGGTATACATCCCTTAAAGCCTTCTTTATAAAAGACTTCTACTGTCATGCTTAAATTAATGAATGGAAAAAGCCAGGCCATCAACAATCTCAAATTTCTTTGCGTTCCCCAGACTGGAGCTATTGTTTCCAGGAAGGAACAGAAGAAATTGGCTGCTTGTGGCTGGTGTCCAAACTTCCTATGAGGGAAAACCCTACAACACTCTTAGCCTACTGCAAAATCTTTTTCCCTTTCAATAACTGTAAAACATTACAGGCAATTCTCCTTTACATGCAGTTATAATTTAAGATTAAAACTGGGAAGAATTTTAATAACAAAAACCCCAAGGAAAACACCTAGTCATCAACAGCTTGACTCCTAGACTAATCCACCACTACTTTAGTTTCACCAGATGAAGTTAAGTTTTGTTTGATAATTTACATAATGAAACTAAATCCATCTTGCTCTCCATTAATATTGGAACAGGTTTTAAATTTGATCTTTTAACTTAATGATGCATCTAACTATAACAATATATGCCCACATGGGTAGTCCCTAACTTGTACATGGGTTGTATTCCAAAAATTCACTTGTAAGTATGTTAATTCAAAGTCAGAACACATTTCCACGTAGAAGCACCATTAGAAAGGTAGGTTAGACACCTTGGCTAGCCTACAGAAGTCTATAGAACCCATAACATAACCTGCACTCCAACTCTTCAAGGGCCTATATTTTTGTCAGTATGGGTACCCTCTTCCATACAACCACAGATTTTAGCCCTTCCATAACCATTCTATAAGGGGATGGTCATCAAGAGTTGTTGGTCCAAAAACTTCTTATCCTATGGCCAAACCAGTGATGATTGATAGCAGTTCATCTGAGAAAGATCTGAGGCACTTAGCGGACTGCTAGCTCACCATGAGTCAACAGCGTGAAATGGCAATGCTCAAAGCCAATAGGATCTTAGGCTTCATTATGCCATTAGGCATAACATCTAAGGCGATGGAGCTGATATCTTAACAACGCACTGTCTGGGTCAGACCAAACCTAGGGCACTATGTCCACTTTGGGATGCCATATTGTAGAAAGGTCATTGATCAGCTGGAGAGAGTCCAGAGGAAGACAATCAGTACGGTGATGGGGCTGTAGATGTTTAGCATGAAGGAAAAGAAGATAATGTCGGGGCAGCTAGGTGGTGCAGTAGATAGAGCACCAGCCCTGGAGTCAGGAGGACCTGAGTTCAAATCTGGTCTCAGACCACATACTTGACACTTACTAGCTGTGTGACCCTGGGCAAGTCACTTAACCCCAATTGCCTCACCACAAAAAAAAAAAAAAGATAGAAAGAGAGAAGATAATGTGACAGTTGTATCTGAAGGACAGTCACATGGAAGAAGCATGTGACTTGTTTGGTTTGACCCTAGAGGGAAGAACTAAGGGATAACAGGTAGAAGTTGCAAAGTGGCATACTTTGGCTCTACTGAAGGAAAAATGACCTAACGACCAAAGCTCTCCAAAAGTGGGAAAGACTTCCTCAAGAGGGAGCAATAGCGGGCTACCCATGTCAGGTGATGCTGGGGAGTGGGGGATCTGTGTTTGAGGACGCCTTTGGAATGGCTGGCCTCTGAGGCTTTATTTCAACTCTAAAGTTCTATGATTAGCCTTTTTGAAACTAGCTAGGCTGGTCCCTTAAACAACAGACTGTTCATCACCAGCCCCATGCTCTAGGCCCTTCTTATTTGGTAGAACTGAGCAGAGACAGTATCTAAGGAATAGAACAGAACCATAGAAATAACAGTGATGTCTAAAGGCCTCCTCTTCTAGGGATCCACACATGGAGGAGAGTTATGGAAGATGAAATGGCATGGATGGGTTGGAATTAGCACCAGCAGAAAAATGAGCACATTGATGAGACCATGGATTCATTAAAATACTGAAGTATAGAAATGCTCTAGAAGGCAGATAGGTTCGATTGCACAATGGTTTCTGAGTTCCAACTCATGATGACAGGACTTATCCTGTATCTATCCCACTAGGGTCACACCCTGCTCCCTGGCTTGGTTCAAAGTGGATGGGGGGGGGAAGGAGAGAAGTTCTGGCAGCTAGAGAAAGGAGTGGGGTCATTCCCCCTGGGCAATAGCACCACTTTTGGACCTAGAAGGCTGAAGATGTGGTGGAAAATGGTTGGGAGGAGCAGCCATAACTGTCTGTGATGAGTTTTCTAGTTGCAGGTTAAAAATTCCCTGCCCCTTCAGCTCTTTCTGGATTTATGATTAATGCTTTTCTATTGTAATGTTTACTCTAGTGGGAAAAAAAGAGAGAAAGATCAGATTATAAGTACAAGTAGCTGCCAGAGTGGCTATGTGGTATGATGGATAGAGTGGTAGGTCTAGAGTCAGGAAGACTCATCATCTTTCCGAATTCAAACCCAGCTTTAGACACTTACTAGCTGTGTGACGCTGGGCAAGCCATTTAAACCCTGTTTGCCTCAGTTTCCTCATCTGTCAAATGAGCTGGAGAAGGAAATGGCAAAACCACACCAGTATCTTTGCCAAGAAAGCCCCAAATGGGGTCATAGACAGTTAGACATGATTGAAAAAAAGTAGATTGAGATGTGCTTGAAACTGATAACCAACGCCCGTGGGTAGTTGGGATCAACTATTAGTTTGGGAAAATTGCAAGTTCCCAATTGCAATTGCAAGTTAGGAGCTGCCCATGTAGGCAGATGTTTTAAGCCTGGTGTTACCAGTAGCTTATGGGGGCGGGGATAGATAGGAATGAGTTGCTCCATCTCTGTGCCATAAGTGAAAGTATCTTCTGAGGTCCTTCAGGTATCTTGAACCGACACAAAGATGTTCTCCCCCCAAAATGTATCCATGGGAGAAATACCTGAGAAAGTCCAACTGCTCTTGTTTCTACAGTCTTGGTTGAGAAAGAAAATTATTAGTTTTGAAATAATTTAAACATTCATAGGCAAAATCATTCTTTCCAAAGTCATTTGTCCATCACACTAGACCACAAATGTCATGAGAAAAAGTCAAGTCACAGAGAAGGTCGTCGTTGAACTAAAGTATCTATTGCTTTCCAATAACATGTCCTTAGTAAAACAAACCAGCTCAAGATAATTAAGTCAATGAACTGAAAGGTTTGTCACCTGATCTGACAGCGTAAGAGGAGAAGAGTATCCGATTCTGCAGCCATAGGTAAAGCACGATATTTCTGCTGTCAGTTCTAACACGTGAGCCAAAGGCAAGTAGCCAATGTAGGTGTCCTTTGGTCTGAAAGGGAAAGACTTGTATTAAAACCCTTTCAAGGCATCTCAAATTAGGAAAAAAACAGAAAACAAATGTCATTATAATACTGTAATAATATTATATTAATTATTAATGATAGATAATACTTATATTTTTGTAATACTTTATTTTAAATAATAAAATTCTTTTGAAACTACAAAGTACCAGGTCTGGTAAACGACAAACATAAGTGCTAATTGCAGAGCTCTGGGTCACACACAGAAGAGGGCTGACGAGTCCTTACCCAAGTCCAGGAATTCTCTCACACTGGCCTGTCATTCCAGCTATCAAGTTACTGTGATGCATCATCACTCCTTTAGGTCTGCCTGTGGAGCCGCTGGTATACATGACGATAGCCAGGTCAGAAGGAGACGGTCTACTGGGAAGAATGTTTGCTAGAAGAGAGAAAAAGTCACACTTTCTTCAGTCAAAACAGATTATTATGCTAATGGCAACAGGAGAAACAAGTTCTAAATGGCACCCTGCAGATGAGGCTCCAATCCAATTGGCCCAGCCCAGTTCCAACACTACCACAAGATGCCCATTGTAAGGTAGTCAAAGGTCAGATCCTCCCTTTAGAGAAAACTGAGAAAGGACTGGATATGTGAACCTTTGTTCTGCCTGGGCTTGTAATCTGGGACAATTGGCTTCTTTCTTCTGTTCTCTGCTCCCCTCTTCCCCCCAACAATCATTTTCACCATCTATTTTTGGATACGGCAAACAACAACAAGAACAACAACCACAGAACCAGACCCCACAACTAACTGATGGCTCATGGGAGAAGACAGGCCATTGGGGCCCATTCTCAGGGGTGTGTGGGTCAAAAAGTGTTACTAGGCAGGCTCCTGTGACTGCTCACTGAAATACCTGAGGCCTCCCTCCTCAAGTGAGCCCAGCTGCCTATCCAGGCCTAACAATGAGCTCCAGGCACCAAGTCCATTTATGTTCTACCCCAGAACAAAAAGATCCCAAAGTATGCAAAGCAAAATACTTCCTGGGGCTTCAGCAAAATCAAATAAGCACATCTACTCAGTTTCTTCCTCAAGAGGCAACCCTTCAATGGGTTCACAATATTTATATATTATCCTGTGGAAAGAACTTTTCACACACACACACACACACGTGGGGAAAAGTTTATGGGATTTTTTGGTTTTACCCTCAAGTATTCTGGAACCAAACAATTCTTCCCCTATCTTTATATATTATATATATTAGTTATATAATATTTTATATATTATCTATTAGTTATATAATATTTTTATCTATTAGTTATATTTATATATTATATAGTTACATAATATTTTATACATTATCTATTAGTTATATAATATTTTACATATTATATTATATATTATAAAATTTATATATTAGTTTATATTAGGCCTTATTAGTTTGGTAGCACAAATTGCAGAGGAGAGGGCATGGCACATCGTAGGCTCTTAAATGCTTGTTGGATTTAATGAATTGCAGCCAGGGAAGGCAAGAATATGAAGTCTCTGGGAATAGAGAGGAGAGAGGTGCATCCCACCAGCTAATTAGGGAAAGTCTTGCTGCTAGCTCTTTTCTGTTTGCTAGAGGCCTTCCCAAGGAAGACAGCTGAGAGCAGCTGCTCTTTTCCATAGCAGGAACCTGGTAATTGCCTATTCAAGTCAGCTGAGCAAGCTGCTGCAGGCAAACCCCAATAAATGAGGCCTCACTCAGGGAGGAGCCGCTAGGCTGAGAGCCGGCCAGCAACGACTGCTGCTCACCAAGAAGGTCAGCCCCAAGAGCCAGCAGCAAGGACAGAGGCCCTTGTTTCCAGCATGTCTGGAAGGCAAGGGGAATCTGGCAGTCATCCTCATCAGAGAATGAGAAGAGGCAATGCTGAGTGAATGGAGAGCTGGCCTTGGAGCCAACAGGACCTGAGTTCAAGTCTCACCTCTGATCCAGCCTGGCTGTGAAACCCTAGGCCAGTCAAGTCCCTTCTGGGTGCTTTGCATGGCTCCCTGAGGCTGTAGATGCCAGAGAAGGAGCTGACCTGCATTGGGAGAAGGAGCTTCTCCTCTGGGAGTTCCCCATATCAGTGAAATCACAGATCCAGGTCCTCTCCCCAGCAGAGAATGCCCTGGGTTTATGTCTCTGCCAGTACCGAGTCATGGCTAGCTAGGTACCAAGTGCAGGATGGTTTCCCTTCTAGAGAAGAAGGTGCAGGGGCTTGAGAAACCTCCCTCTACCCCAGGTGACTAGGGAGAATTAAGTATTCTTCCTCTGTAAAGGGAGGATCTGACCTTTGTTGGCTGCCCAAGTGGCTTATGGTGGGTATTCTTGTAGTGGTATTGGAACTGGTCAGGGCCAATTGAACTGCATCTCATCTGTAAGGTGGGCAGCTAGGTGGTGCTGTAGTGGATAGAGTGCCAGGCCTGGAGTCAGGAAGACTCCTCTTTGTGAGTTCCAATCTGGCCTCAGACATTTACTAGCTGTGTGATCCTGGGCAAGTCATTTCACCCTGTTTGCCTCAGTTTCCTCATCTGTAAAATGAGCTGGAGAAGGAAGTGGCAAACCACTCCAGTATCTCTGCCAATAAAACCTCTCAAAAAGTCAGGCACAACTGAACAAGTGCTCTTCCATCCTTTCAAAAGGGACAGAAAAGGAATCTCAAGCAGCTGGACAGCCTACTTTTTATCAGGTGGAAGTGATGGGGTGCTTGGGTGCTTGCACTTGGACCCCAAGTTCCCCCTAGCCTCAGAAACACTATCCCTGGCAGTTTCTCCCCAGCCCGAGGACACTGTGCCTAGCAATTACTCATGAGTGGGCCCCAGCAAGACCCTTATCTCTCTCCCTGGTGCAGTTACAGACAGCACCTGAAGGAATTATTAGTTTGAACTGGCTTTACACTGGGTCATAAAGATATTCTTACCCATGGGACTATCTATACTACCGCCTACCTCATTATCTACATCCTGGATTCCTCATTATTTGTATTCTAGACCTAAGACACATGTATACTCCCTCCATCTATCTTGTCAAACAAGACCTTGACTGGTGGCAGACTGGACAACTCTCAGTTACCCCTGACCGCTAGTTAATTTAGTGACGTAGCAGGCCTAAAACCACACCTCTGTGTGGCCCCCCTTGTGGGCTTTTCCTAGTGAACTCTGGGTAAAATACCTGCGCAGTAGATATAAAAAGTGCATGTTCCTTTAAGAACTAACCACTCCTTAACTACTCCCCAATCCTACCCTGAATCACCTAGATAGCATATTTGACATGTTTTATTATATTTTATCCTATATAAACTTTAACTGTACCCCTCTAAGGTACAGGTTCCTTAAGAATCCTTGCCCGCTGAAAAGCATAACGATAAACTTTTTGCCAACTTTACTTAAAAAATGCTTGAGTCTGTGAATTCATTCCAGATGACCCCGTCCTGTATTCCAGTCTTTGAGGGGTCTCAACCTCTCAGACCGCAACAGAAGTAGAAGGACAATGTGGCCCAGAAGAAAAGGAGGCCCACTGACCACTTGAAGGTAAGAGTGCAGGTTCAAGGCTCTGGCTGTGGAGGGAGGAAAGAAGCAGCTGCATCCCACTGCCCTGGGGCCCTCAGGCCAGGGGCCATTTAGTAAGTCAAGGGACCTCCCTGCCCAAGAAGATGGAGAAAGGTCATCGTTGCCTGAGCTGTCTTCCCAGTCTAGATCTGGGGTGTGACTGACAGCTGAGACTCGGCCACCTGAGGACATTGTCCGCAGGGGAGCGTGGGGGACATTTTTATCACTGACACAAAACTAGAAAGTATTGCCAAGGCACAGCTGGCGGCTTCAGCACTTGCTGCTGGTTATGGCTTCAGAAGGTATAGGTGGGTTTGGGCCTGGGAACAGCTGGCTGTGGATAAAAGCACTGGGGTGGCTGGGGGGAGTGGGGGAGCAAGGTCCTTGAGAGCTAAATGAGCAAGGAAATGGAGCAGATTAGAAATGAAGGTTACAAAAAATCATGTCTACAAAACATGTTTAAAAGGACAAGGCCAGAATTAAGAATTTTTTTTTTTTAAAAAAAGGTGTGACTAGGGAAAGAAGGGCTTCTCTGCTTTTGTTTTCTTTTAGATAGGAGCTGTGATTTCACTGTATAGGGAGCTCTTGGTAAGGAAATCCCTTCTACCAAGGCAGGCTGGCACACCATCTGCAACTTCTAGGCCTAGGGCTAGGTGGGCAAACAATGAGCCCTCAGGCCACATCCAGTCCAGCGCCTGGTTCTGTACCACCTGGACACTTTTAAATGCTCACAGGCCATACAAAACCAGGTTTGGGGTTGCATGTGGCCAGAGAGGCCACAGATTTGCTGAGTCCTGTTCTACGGGGTTACCTAGAACCCTAAGAGGTTCTAGGCCAGAGTCAGTACCTGAATCTAGCTTGGGCTAATAGGCTCCTTAGCCACTCTGTCCTGTTCACTCTCCTATGAGAATATAGTCATTTCAGTTGTGTCTGGGTCTTTGTGACCCCATTTGGGGTTTTCTTGGTAAAGAGACTTGCCATTTCCTTCTCCAGCTCATGTTGCAGATGAGGCAACTAAGGCGAATGGGGTGAAGTGACTTGCCCAGGGTCACACAGCTAGGAAGTGTCTGAGGTTGGATTCCTATGAGGATATAACCTTATTCAAAAGGGACAGATTATAATATTAATGTATAAGTACAGCCTATTATCAGATTGCATGCCCTCTTGGGGAGGGGAGAGGAGAAGAAGGAGGAGAAAACTTAAAACTCAAAATCTTATGGAAGTGAATGTTGAAAACTAAAAATAAATAAATAATTTTTTAAAAAAGAGGGACAGACTAGATAAAAGGGATGGTGGGAGAGTCCTAAATATTAAAAAGATGTGGAGAAATCTAGGAAGTAAACATAGGAGAGCACATTTGGATAAGGTCCAACAAAGGGAGAAGCAGGTGACACCACCATCATGTAAGCTATGCTCCAGGCACACTTGGGAGAGAAAATACAAAAGCAGAAGGATCCCAGGTTGATCTGGAGCTGTGCTCTAAGCCTGATAAGGAACTTTAGCTGTCCGAACACCTCCTAGAGCTTTCTCCGCTTTGTCCGAAAGCACACTGGTTGCTCATTTCTGGCTTTGTGGGAACCATTTCATTATTCAAAAAAGTGGAGAAGTAGGGGGAAAAAATGATGTTCTTCTAGACTCCCCCCTTGGAGGGGGCCGTTGGGATGAAACCCTGTACCCTAGATTTGGGGAAAGCAAATTTCAAAATGATTAGAAGAAAGGATTGGGAGAATTCCAAGGCCTAAACTTCTGCAGAGGATGTCAGCCCAAGAGGTATGAGGGACTCGTGAAATCCTGAAAACATCAGCAGAAACAATTTTGATTAAGAGGAGAAAAAACCAATGTGGCTACCCAGAGAACTTCATGTTCAACTTGGATTTGAAAAAGGCATGTGAAAAAGAGAGAGAGAGGGGCAGGGGCAGATAGGCAACTAAGGGCAGCTAAACAGAGATGACTGCCAAAGAGTGGCAGGGTGTCCAGTAAGAATAACATCGGGACTGCTAAAGCATCCAAGGAGCCAGGGCTGGTGACAAATGTCAAGGAGCTCAAAAAGGCTGGTAAAAAGCCAAGGGTGGGTGGGAAAGAGCGAGCTCAAAGAAGGAAGAGAACTGCTCCTTGGGGTGGAGAGGTCAACGATAAACAGACAAAGAATGCTGAACTATTTGACTCGATTTTACTTCCGTTCTCTCTACCAGGGAGAAAGATCTTTGGGTTAAAAAGGATAGAACGAAAATAGTTAATGGGAATTTAAAACCCAACATGTGAGAAGATGAGAAAACCTAGCTGCCCCTCAATGGCTTCAAGTTACCAGGCCTGAGACAACCTACATCCTAGGTACTGAGATGTGAGTGCTGAACTATTTTCTGTGATTTTTTTTTTGAAAGATCAGAGAGGCAACAGAGATACCACAGGAATGGGGAAGAGAAAATGCCCCAATTTCCTAAAAAAGGGAAGGATTTATCCTTCTACACACTAGTGGCCAGTGAGCTCGGCTTCTATAGTTGGCAAAATTCTTGACTGTATTATAAAGGGCTAACGACCACTTAGCAAAGGAACCTAGCAAGGCTTTATTGAGACTAGACTATGCCAAACTACCAATTTCCTTTTTTTGGGGGGGTCAGGATTATTTGACTTGTAGATTAAGGGAATGCTATGAACATGGTGTATCTAGATTTCAACAAGAAGATGGAGAAATGTGGCCTCTATGAGAGCAGTTAGGGGGCTTTGGACCTAGCTGAATGATCAGGCCCAAAGGGTAATTGTGATAACTGCCTTCAAGTATTGAAAGGAGTCATGGTGAGGAGAGCTTAGCCTTGTCCTGCCTGATCCTGAATGATAAAAAACCAAGGAGTCGAAGTTGCTGAAGGTTAGATTTCAGCTTAATGGAAGAAAACATTTGCCAGCGACTGGAGCTGTCCATAAAGAAGAATGGGTAGCCTCAGGAGGTACTGGGATAGCCCTTGCTGGATCTAGGCCTTCTTTGAGGTCTGTTCTGATATTGGCTGGGCTAGGTGACTTCTGAGTTCCTCTCAATTAATATTTCTGTGCTTCTTTGATGAGATCTCCAGCTAACTTTCTGGTTAGTTTACTGGGGTCCTATTGAGGTTGCGATGGATTTTTCCCCCCAGCTGGGAGCATTACTTCCTCAACTGTTTGCTGCTCCAAGGAACCCTGGCCCTTCAGCTTTTGCCCATGTAAATAACATATACCCTATATTAACCAAGCTTTTACTTTGAAATCTTGAGGTATTTTCTAGCAAAGGGGAGGAAAAAACCTGAAAACTCTCTAATCTTATAGTCAGAGATAAGAAGGGAAGAGCAGTTCAGTTTTGTGAACTTGTTTCAAATGAGTAGCAGAGCAAGTCCTGACATGAAATCTGCCGATTATTTGGAGGCCTTTGGAAAGCTCCCCACTGTCAAAGCAGTCGGAGCTTCCAGTTTGGTGGGACTGGTTTTTTCTCCCCATTTTTCTCCCCTTCTTCTTTATTGGAAGGGATGGCTCTCCGGGAGGGTAGGAGAAGGCTACACCAGGAAAAAGGTGACATGAAAACAAAAGATAACTGAGTTAAAAAAAATCAACACTGTTACTTGAGGTTAGTTAATAAAAATCATTTTAAAAATATGTGATTTATCAAGCATGGGCAGGGGTGGGGTGCTTAGGGAGTTTGCCAAATGGGTAAAGGGCCTGGATGAAACAACTATTCTAAAGTCAGAAACTGATTTTTTTTTCTTCCTCCTTTAAGGAAAGAGCAGTTATCTTTTAGAAAGAAAAAAAAAACAATAATTTCCACAAATAGTCTAATTTGCATTATACTAATTTTAAAAGTGGAGGAACTGATCAATACAATAATTCAAGACCATTCCAAAGGAGTCATGATGAAAAATGCTATCCACCTCCAGAGAGAGAACGGAACACATTGAAGTATAAATGTTCTTACTTTCTTTTTCTGCAATATGGCTAATATGGAAATGTTTTACAAGGTTTCACGTGTATCATTGCTTACCTCCTCAGGAGGTAGCAGAGGTGGTGGGAGGGAGAGAATTTGGAACTCAAAATTTTTTCAAATGTTAAATAAATAATAATAATAATAAAATAAAATAATAAATAATGTGCATTTTATACAAATCATAGGCTATGAAAAGCCTCATTAACTAGATTAGAAATCTCTATTACTTACCATTTTCAGACTTGGATCCCAATTCTTCCACAGAATGCATGCTGTGAATTTCAAATCCTTTAGGGTATTCTGATTTATCAATCGTTTTATTGCCCACATAGATGATATGCTGAACACAGATGATGTCGACTAGTGCAGTCTATGAAAAGGAAAGAAACCTTGGAAATTACTTAAAGTATAAGTCAAAATCCTGTCTTGGACATTTACTAACTCTGTGACCCTAGGCAAGTCACCCTCAATGAATCTCAGTTTCCCCATCTATAAAATGGGGATAATAATGAGAAGGTATGTGAAGTGTTTTGCAAACATTAAAGTCCCTGTTCACTGAATGTCTATGATCCTCAGTTTCCCCATTTGAAAAATGGGGATGATAATAAAGACATGTTATGTAAGATGCTTTGCACATATAAAAGCCCCTGTTGGTCACTATTTGTGACCTTGCACAAGTTACTTAACCTTTCAGCCTCCATTTTCTTACTTGTCAAATGAGAAAATTGGACTCTGGGGTACTTCCTAGCGCTAAATCCACATATGAGTCTATGAATTGTACACTGAAAACTAAATCACTCAATATTACCATTAGATAATTCTCACACTGTGATTTTGATAATGTGGCTGCTTTCTTTCAGTGCCACAAATCACAGCCCCTATGACTTACAATTGAGGATCTTTAAGAATTGCTGGGACCAAACACTTCAGTGTGGCCACACTAGCCAGGCTCCACCGGCCAGAGTGGAGCCCAACCTAAAGCCTTTCACGTGGGTGCTGCCACATCTGGGCTCATGGGCACAGACCTTTGAGAATACATGATTATTTAGTTCAGAAGGCATTGGAGTTAGGCTTCTGTGGAGGCAGACAATACCACCCAGAACAAAAACTGGGAAAGAATAAGTAGATTTCGCACTTACCTTAAGCTTACTTTCTAGAAGTTCACCACTAGTTATCAGATAGGATGCTTCAGATTCGTTCAGCCCGTGGATTACGGCCTCTTTGCCAAGGGTTGCATATAGAGTTACAACTGACCAATAAACATAGGGGAAAAATAATCAACAATCAGAATGCTGTAAAGAAGGATCTTAATCATCAACAAACTTTTATAAAATGCCAATCATGTGGAGGGAGATATTAAAATTAGACAAGACTTGCCTACCCTGTAACTTTGACAATGCCTGATATAAACTAAAATGTTCTGTAACATTGAGAGGGAATCTTACTATTGAATGGGGTGGGGGAGAGGATATGTCAAGTTTCTTGAAGAAGGCAGCCATGTGTATTAGGCTCTAAAAGAAGAACAGGAATTCAACAGGTTAGAGGGCAAAGGAGGGCATTCCAAGTAAAGACTTGGAATAACATGAGAAAAGACATGTGCCAAGACACAGGACACTGTTGGATGTATGTGTGAATCTACTTTATGCAAAGTGCAGACACAGAAATAAAGCTTATAAAGAGTAGAGTGGGGCCAGATTATGGGGGGCCATGAACAACCAGATTGATGTGTATTGTAGCAGCAGTGGGAGGGACAAAACGGGGTTGGGGAAGGAAATGGAGATGGGAAGACATGGGAGGCTATTGTGCTAGTTCAGTGAAGGAATGAGGGTGGTAAGCGATGAGAAAGAATATCTTTTTTTTTGTGAAAATGTCCTTTTATTCCTATCAATTGTGACAAAATAACATTTTATTTTTTATTTTTTTTTTAGGCACTTGGGGTTAAGTGACTTGCCCAGGGTCACACAGCTAAAAAATAAAATAAATGTCAAGTGTTTGGTCTGAGGCTGGATTTGAACTCAGGTCCTCCTGACTTCAGGGCCAGTGCTCTATCCACTTGCACCACCAAGCTGCCTCTACTCACTGGACAACTTTAACAGGCCCCCAACTGGTATCCTTGCCTCCAAACTTTCCCCTCTCCAATTCATCCTTTAAATAGCTGCCCCAAAGAAGCTTCTTAATGCACAGACCATTCCCCTTCAGTGATGCCCTTTTCATTTTCACTAAGCGTTTAGTAAGTGCCTACTATATGCCAGCCACTGGGGATATAGAGATGAACATTCCCAGTTCTCTAAGCACTTAGAGACCTATTTGGGGGTCGGGGTGGGGATGGGTGTGGGTGAGAAGCAGCATGTATGTATACAGAAAATTCTGTTCTAAGGACTTTGCAGGAGGGGATGGCAGTGGGGAGGGAAGGACAGGCCTTCTGCAAGAGATGCCAACTGAACTGAGCTTTGAGGGAAGCCAGGGACTTTAAAAGGTAGAGTCGAGTTAGAAAGGAGTGCATATCCAGCCCAGAGGAGGGTCTGTGCAGAGGCTAGGAAATGGAAGAAGGAAGCTTAGAAAGCATGTATTCCTGAGTATTTGAAAAGAACTCATTTCTCTCCATGGTCAAGTTGTACTGCAATGCTTCATCAGAGGACAGAGGTGTCCCTGGGTTCTCAAACACTATGCCAGGGGACTGCAAGCTCTGGCAGGTCTTACCAAGCTAGAAAGATTTGGGCTGCAGTCAAAGAGATGAGCTCTGGGGGCCTGTTGCCTGGGGCCCAATCTCACTAAGATCAGAAAGCTTCAGCAAGAGTAGCTGAACCACAAGTTGGCCACAAAAATATTCGAGTTTTTGGATCACAACTTCTGAAGAACATTTACTAAGGCACGGAGTGGGGGATGATTGGCAGTCAGGCGATAAGTGCCCATGCCACCAAAACCCACTGAAGTAATTTATGATTAATTTATCAGCCCTCAGTTTTGCTGATGAAGGAAACTGAGGGGTGACTGTACAAACGGGAGGAGCTCTGAGTGTTTGAGAAAATGATTAAAGCCTCGTAAGCTTATTTATGGTATTTATTGACCAGTTCTCATGTTCTAGCTTATCTGCTCTAAATGGAGGGAGAAAGTTTGGGAACAGCTTCTGTGGGGACTGAGATAACCCTTTGGCTTGGCCTTGTAGCTTTCAAGAGCAAATTATTCACTGAAGGACCCTGCCTCACAGTTACCACCTTCCATTAATTTATTCTGCATCCAGAATCTTAGAAATGTTAGCCTTACCCTTCAACTTCTCCCTGTGGCCCCCATGTGTCACTTTCCCTCATCTCCCTCTTACCCCTCCCTCGCTCCCTTTTTCCCTCTCTTGCTCTCTCTTTGTCTCATTCTCTCTCATTCCCTCCTTCCCTTCTCTTCCCTCTCCCTCCCTCCCCCTCTTACCTCCCTTTCTCTCCTCCCCTCTCTTTCCCTCTCTTCTCCCCCCTCTCCCTCCTTCCCCCCCATTCTCCCCACCCCTATCTCTCTTCACCTCTGTTTTACAACTAAGAAATCCAGTTCCTGCCAGTGTCAGATGACTAAATGCTGCCAGTCCACATTCCCTGTCATTTTCCTTCTAGCTGAAGCCAGTGGGTTTGGCCCAGATGTGGTCTCCCCAGAACAGCCCACTTTCTACCATTAGCCCTATGGGTATTGGCAAATCAATGAGGATTCCAGGTCAGTTCTGGTTCATGGATCTATCTGGTTCAGGAGTCGACTCCATGGCAGGTATAAAAGATACCTAACACAGGGAGGGATTATTACTCTTCTGTAACATAAAGTAGCTATCACCAGAGAGTCATTTTATTTCTTATATGAATTAGAGAAAGATATTTTAAGGATCACAAAACTTTTTAAAAGATTTCCTACCTAACACATTTCATGTCAATTCAAGTTTTATTACATGTGTAAGATACATGTATGATGAACAGTTGAGTATACTGAAGTCTTCTGAAAGATTCAAATAAAATCAACAAGCACTTATTAGTGCCTCCTATGTGCCAGGCCTGAATCCAAACTTCACAGAACAAATCCTTGCCCTCTGAATCAGTCAAAGGGCAGCACTTAAGGACCCAGAAGGCCACATGTGGCCTCGAGGCCGTAGGTCCCCCACCCCTGTGCCAGGCACTGTATAAAATTATCCAGAGTAGTTAGCAAAACAAAAATCCTGTTCTGATTACAATTTGGTAAAAGAAATTCAGGAAAAGATTCCAAGTCAACTGAAAATACAGCTATAAATTATGACTTTAGTCATGAGAAGAGTACTAGCTTCTTAGGGAATTCATAGATTCTTCAGTCAACAATTTAATGCTGTTAAACCCATATGACTTTGGAGAAAGAGTGGAATACATCAAACATAAACTGAAAGAAAGGAAAATTAGGAAGACTGATAAAATGATGTCTTTACAAAAAGAGGCCAAAACACTCACGAGGAAAGTTATACTTAAAACAGGTCTGTGCTGCAACCATCCATTCTGCCCTGGTCTCACAGAAGATGGCAATTGTGCTCTTTGGTTTCAGGCCTAATGCAGTAAGTCCGTTGCCAAAATTATTCACTCTCTGGTTCACTTCGACATAGTTCATCCATTTATAGTTTCCTAGGATTAACTGTTGAAGCAAAACTCATATTGGCACAGTCATTCAGGCAAGCAAAACACAAAACAATTTCAAAGCGAGGAGTATTAAAAACACCCTCAAGTTCAAATATAAACACTATGAACATTTCTAAAAGATCATGCAAGCTACTTTCTTTGGGTTACCAAAGGAGAAGGAACAAAGCTCTGTGACAAAATACCAGCATGCTTAAAGGTAAGGAAATGTATTTTCCTCCAAGGGTGGGGGAACAATGCAAAAACCATCAGACTTGGTTGATGCGTGGACTCTGAATTTTCTGAATTGCTTTTCCCCACCCTCCTCCCCCTTTTCAAATTCTTTGTTACAATGGATGACTCCCAGGGTTGGATATATTCACAAATGGAGGTGATGTCAAAACAAAGGGTACCAATAAAAAATTAAAAGCTCTTACCTGCTTAAAAAAATTTGCCACCTATCTTTCACAAACACAAAATCTGCGTTTACCTTTTTAAACACTTTTCCATTTGGTTGCATTTCATTTTCTTCACTTAACAGCTCCCTGGTCCCAAGGCATTCCTTCTTCCCAAACTTAGCTACCGCATGATCGAACAATTTGTCCAGGGTGTCTGCTCCAGGGATGTCGATCACTGCTAGTGAGTCGAAGTGGGTGACAGAGCGATATGGACTTCCGGGTGTGTTTGAGGTGGGTTTAGCTTTTATTCGTTTTGCCATAGTGCTTTTCTTCTTGGCATTGGTAAAAAAATACCATGGAATAAATATAAGGGCACTGTATATGTATATTAACAAGTGGATAGGGAACAAAGTAATGGTAAGCACATCTAGCTTAAGTTTCATTGTGGAAAGACTTCTAAAAATGGTGTTTGTCTTTTGTTATTCTTTGGGTTTTGAGTGTTCTTTGAAGAAGGCAATAATGGAAGCAGCTATAGGAACAGCAGGATAGCCAAGGCAGTTCAATTTTAAAGTTACAGATAGAAGTTAGTAATTTTTGGAAGCCGACAATAAAATACACCTGTAGGTGAAGATGAGGACCAAGGCAGAGAGCAGGGAAAACAAAAATAAAAGAAAGTTAACAAGGTAATAGCACCATGAATTTCACCGCTTTAGTCCTTACCGACTCTATCTTATTATTATGAAACTCAACACAGAAAGCTGAAATAACTGGCATGAAAAAAGCATTCCATGCTTGTTCTTTATTGTGAAGAAAAAAAAGATTTTCTTAGACTAATTTCAACATTTGTCTTTTATCTTTTTCTAGGTTTTTAGGATACACCAATGTTTTTTAATTGTTTCATTTCGCAAGGCAGTGGAATAATCCTAAACAAAGATTTACATGAGTAAATATGGTTAAATGTGGCCAAAGGTCAGTGATTTGACTCTCAAATAACTGCGCTACAACCAGAACTCTTAAAACAGTCATAGATGTTGGATCCAAACAGAAAATTTCTATTCAAGGACTAGTGGTACTTTTATGGACTGTTCTTTGAGGTGATTTTTCCTTATTTGTGCCCAGCTGATAGCCCCAAGCTTCCAGAATCGCTCAGAACATGAAAAAACAAAATGGAATTCAGTTCTCTGAAACTGACTCTACTTGCTACCTTCTGCCCCCTGAAGGAACAATACAAATCCCAAGTAACTTTTTGAGGACCTATCTTTTCAGCACTGTCCCGGGGGAGAGGGCAAATATGAAAATACTAAAGTTGTATAATCTACGATCTGAACCCTCTAGGTGCTTGCTCACAACAACCTAGTTGGGGAGGCAAGTCTGAAACACATGAAACAAACAAAAAAATAAATTACATAATACTCAAGTGTTAAATGGTGTGGTATACACTTAATGTAGTAGCACTCTGAAGAAAGGGGAGGATCACTAAGGGCTAGACGAGTCAGGGGAAGCTTCAAGGAAGAGGTGGGTTCTGAAAACTAGGTCAGGACTGTGGATAGGGATTAAGATGGAGGGAAGGCATTCCAGTTGGGGACCTAGCCTGAGCAAATGAGCAAACTAGCCAAGGTACATAACTGGGGCGGGGGTGGGTAAGAGGAGACTGGCCTGAGCAAAACAGAGGCTACGAGTTGGGATTGGTAGGAAGCAAGACTGGAGAGGTAGTGTGAGGCCTCAAGCCAGGCAGACAATATATGATAGGTGATAATAAATCTGAAGCCACTGAGGCTCAGCGAAGGAATAACAGGGGTTATAGCAGAATCAGCAGCTTAAAACCAGGCTGGTGCTGCTTCTGCTAAAATAAGCTTCTCAAGTCAAGGAAGGAAAGCCAACTTCTGCTATTGCTTTAAGAACGTTTAAAGCTATCATGAACTACTAGTCAATTACAAATACAGAATGGCAAAGCCCACACTTCAGTAGCCCCTGTCCTTGGTGGGCTGGTAGCCTCCACAGCCAACCTTATTTCTTACTCCTTTCCTCTATGAATCTTCAGTTCTGCTCAAGCCAGTCTCCTTACACTAGTCTTCACACATAAATACTGGTTTCTGTGTCTCACAGTCCCTACCCCCACCCCCAACCCGAAATATCAGATCAAACTTCTCTGACTTCAGGGCAGCTGGGTGGACAGAGGGCTAGGCCTAGAGTCAGGAAGACCAGAGTTCAAATCCAGCCTCAGAAACTTCCTAGCTGTGGAACACTGGGCAAGTCACTTAAACTCTATCAGTTTCCTCATCTATAAGTTAGAATAATAGTAATAGCACCTACCTGCCAGGGTTGTTGTGAGAATCAAATGAGATAATGTTTATAAATTACTTGGCACTGCGCCTGGCACATAGTAGGCCCTATCTAAATACTTATTCCCATCCCTTCCCTCTTTTCCTTCAAAGGCCCACCTCTTCATGAAGCATCCCCAACAGTCTTTCCCTTCCTGGAATTCCTATAGTCCTTAGTCTCTGCCTATACATTCTAGAATGTGATTATACCATCACCAATGAATGTTTCCTGAATGCCAGCCTGCTAGTTGCCATGGAGTGCTAGATGCTGGGAACCCAAAGGTATGTGGCAAATGGCTCCTGAGAATTTACCACCTGGCTGGGCGTATAGACTACCTTGGGTAGTTTCTGGACTCAGATGGGCTTTTGCTAAGTACATTTTAAGTTCCTTGAAGACCAGCATCAATGTCTTCTTTTGTGTTTTAGTGCTAAAAACATGAGAGGTCCTTTTTCAAACACACTTTATAAACCCAAACCACCACAACTTGAGTATTTTAAATTACAAAGTTGTCCCTCTTCCCAGGACAAAGAAGTGGACCCAGAGAGGGAAGGCCTTTGCTAAAAATAGTTCTGGGACCCTCAAATGAGGTGTTGCAAAGGCACTCTTAAGAATGAAATTAATCCCTGCTGTGTGGGAAGATCAGTAAAACAGGCAATAATGGGCAGGGAGGGAAAACTGGTAGGGGGCAGGCACTGCAGGGGACTGCCTATCTTAACCCCTTCCTTGTCCAAGGTTTTTTTCCAGTCAATCTACTGGGAGATTATATCCACATTAATATATCTCTGATATGATGGAGAGTGGGGGGGAAAATCAATGAAAAGGCAGGATTTACTTTACAAAATCTACTCTATAAAGTGGAGTAACTTGCGTATGAAAATTTCACGATCCACTGAGAACTCAAAAAATCCTATTGATAGAATAGACTGAAGGAAATAAAATAAAATAAAAGCTATCCTGAAAATGAGTATCAAACCAGGAATTAGGTGATCTACTTTCTAATTCCAATCCCACTAACTTATCTGTGATAGGTAAGGCAAATTATTCAACTTCTCTGTCTCAGTTTCCTCTTCTAAGAGTTAGGGATGATGATAATACCTAGGGATGATGATAATACCTACACCAATATAATTCATAGAGTTGTTGAAAAGAACAAACCAGCGGGGGGGGGG